TAAATAAACATAATTTTCTCAATAATCTCATACATCTAACGGAACCCTTGACATTGTCCCACGGAACCCTAAGGTTCTGCGGAACACACTTTGGGAAACGCTGCTCTACATTTTAATGCATTGTAATTTATAACGATCATATATATATTTAAATATTTAAATTAAATATACTTGGTTTGATTGATATTTTAACAGTTTTACTGTCCATAATATTTTCTTTAAAATAGTTTGAACTTATACATTACATATAAAAAAAATGTAATTTATAATATTTATTAGTTTTACCCATTCAATTTTTGTCCCAATCTAAAAAAACTCATACTGGTGATCTGTTAAGTGATACTTAAATTATATTATGTGAGTCCAATCACTGGCGATAAGCTAAACTTTCAATGTATAATATCTAAGTATACAAAATGACTTGAAAAATAATATACATTATTATATTATGAAATAATTAATAGTGGCTGTGAATTTATTACAACAATTTTACAAATATCAGTTGTACAAAATTTGATCAATTATTTGTATTTTAATTAAAAGTTATAAAATGTACAATAGTAAATTTTAAACATAATATACTAATATAATATCCTTAAGATTGAAGATACAAACCGGAAAACCCATAAAAAATATACACCCACCATATTCAGTCCTAGAAAAAACTTATTTAAAACATTCAGTACAAATTAAAGTAAAAATGGTATGATTGACTTTCTATATTTTGGGTAATCAGAAAATTCTTTATTATAGTTTCTGTGTTTGCCAAGAGCCCATACCGCCATTTGGTAAAGTCCAGCAATAGTGAATATTCCAGCTAAAAAAAAATTACATAAAAATAATTTTTTATCAACAATGTAATATTAAATAATTACCTGAAAATGAAGATGTCATTATGGTAAATCCAATCCAACTACCAACCTCATAAGTGTAGTTAGGGCAAGAAACAAAATTAAAAAGAAGTGTAAAAGGATTTATAGTAGGAACAGGGATACGCCTGACTTTGGTACCCGGTGGACGAAGATTTCGCAGTGCAATGTGAATACTTAAGTTTCCCAATTCACAAAACTGTAATATTGTATAAAATGTTTATTTAATTATTCACATGACACTACAAATTTAATTTAATTTTAATACTTACAATAAAAGTACCAAGACCAAAGTAAAATTGAACTGTACATGGTGGAGTATACAATGGATGGCTAACAAAGTATGAAACAAAAGCAGTAAAACACCAGTAATATGTACAGTTTTTAAATAGATTCATTATTGGCATTGTGTTATGAGAGAAACGATGAACAAACAATGTTTCAAGCACACGCTTTATATAATGGAATGACCAACAGTAAGCAGCAACTCTAAGAAAACAAAAATAATAATTAAAATTATAAGAATAAGAATGAAATGAACATAGACTTGGAAAATCACCAATTCTCGATGATAAGCCATTTTTTTGATAGTAAAAATAGCCAGGTTTAAATACTTAGTTTTAGGTTTTTAAAAACGTAAACATGTTTAAATATGTGATATAAAATCTATTAAAACATTATTTATAACTATATTTGCTAACAAAATTGTATGATGAGTTAATGATATATAATTATTGAAAGTCGAATACAATTTTTGTTAACATAAAATTATTTTTGGATTATATGTCACTGATAAGGTATCAGTATACTTAAGGCAATATTAACTGATACAGCTAGACAGTGGGCATTGGTAACCTAATTAATGAATTGCGGAATAAAAATCCAAAATCCCCTGAAAAAAAATCCCTGACCTAAGCAAAAAAATCACCTGACTACAATATTACTCACTAACACATGCAAATTATTGAACAAATATTTTTTTTAGCACTAATTACCATCATTATTAATATTTATTATTTAATATTATTAGTATAAAGTTTATACTAATAATATTGTGTTTTTTTTTTTTTTT